GGGTATGTCGCGGTGTCCCGACCCCCGCCTGTGTTACATACGTATGTCGTGCCCACTTGTTTCATGCGTATGTCGCGGGGTTTGTCGCGGCTGTTTCGCGCGCTGTCTCAATGCCTTCGTCGTCGAAGGTTGCAGTTCCAAGAAGGGGCCTGTCGTAAAGGCTTGTCGCGGAGGCTTGTCGCGGAGGTTTGTCGCGGACGCTGCTTGTCGCAAGCAGAACGGCTTTGTTACAAACCCTATGTCGCGGAAAGACGCCCGGGAGCCAGTTACATACCTAGACTTTTGAGCCGCACCCACATGAAATCCATATAAAATGATCAACCACGGGCTTTGGTCGATTTCCGACCTCAACTCTTTGGCCCGTGCAAACGCTGACTGGTTCGACAATGAATTGCCTCTGTGGCATGGTGTCTCTTCGAAGACTCCGAAAAGGTCTCTGACGCTATCTAGATTTCGATGCAAAACGAAATGCTGTGCTGTTTATAGTAGTAGCTTGCTAAGGGATCTTAGGCTTGAGATATCGACTTCCGCTCGGAATCCAGCCTTTTTTGTGGGGACTGCCGCCCGTCCCAGGAGCCTAGCCTCTTCTGCTGGCTCGCTTGGGCGTGGCGGTGCTGGCTCGCGTTCCTGTAGGCACTTTGGCCTTCTTGGCCAAGGTCTTCCTCTTGGGCTTGTCCTCACTGCCCACCTCTTGACTCCTTGGTGGTTGATGCCGCTACGATGCTACGACACATGCGAGGCAAGCCTCCAGCTTCCAGCCAAGCCGCCCTTGTGCATTCTCTGTCTCCTTCTCTGCCGTTGGCTCTTGATCCGGAAGGCTCGACTCCTCTTCCTCCGCAAAACCCTCAAAATCCACCGGAAAAAGGAAGCCGCAAGGCAAAGTTCTTGAAAGTCCTGGGGTCCTGGAATTCAATAGGAGGCGCCGCTTGAGCGGTGCAACACAGCGTCGTTTAGGGCCTAGGGTAATCTAAGGCTTAGGGCAAAAAACCCTGACCCCGAAACCCATATTTTTTAACCGATTCCACTCAATGACACCTGCAGACATGCCCAAGCACGTACGAACTCTTTACAGGGTTCGAGGCCCGACACGGACATGTCGGCCGAAAGTATCAAGACAACCCGCCAAGGCCAGACCCTAAACCTGAACCCTGAACCCTGAACCCTAAACCCTAAATCCTAAACCACACCCATCCTGCTTTCCGACCTCGGCTGGGACTTTTGGAAGATGCTCGGATGTCGAGCCTGAGCTTTCAACACGAAGCAGCAGCATGGGGCTTGGGGCTGAGGGTTCTTTCATGATTGCTCGGAAGATGCGTGGGGTTTTGGGGACAAAGGGTTTCGGGCTTCGGGCTAATATAAGAATGACATTGAAGCGGGTGACAATTTTCAAAACATCGTGAGAGATCCGGTCCATGATCGATTTCCATTATGCAACGCAGTCTCCGCCCGAGATTGCGAAAGCTCAAATGCGGTTTGGGGGCCTACGGGGGCTCAGGGTTGGATGCCCCTTGTCTTCAAGCCTCAAAGAGGCTGCGGTGCGGAGTCTACCGCAAGAACCCATCAGAGGGTGGTATCGAACAGCTCCGCTCCAAGCGACAGGCACCGCCACTGACCCGTACAGGCAGGAGTGCAAAGATCTGGAGCTATCATCCATGAATACAGTACTATAACAGAATATACCCCCTAAATCCTTGTTCTTCTGCCGCTTGGGCATCTATACGACAAAAACTGCTGGCGTGTGTTGAAGCGGTTTATAGGGCTTAGGGTACAAGATTTCGGGAGCTTGAGTCCAGGCCACTGCCCAAACCGATCGCCTCCGCGGGTGCATCCTGTGCCAGACTCCGATGGGCCAGTTGCCACAATCCCTTTCTCCCAAAACCCAAAACCCAAAACCCTAAACCCTAAACCCTCTTGAACACCCTAAACGCTTGGGCTTTGCGTTGGGCCTTGATCAACATATGCATCTCGAAACCTATGCCAGACACTTCTATGGGACTCAGATGTTCTTGTCAGATACCGCTTGAGAATAACTGAGAGTCTCTAAGGATCTGCAGGAATCCACGCAACCTCACGCAAGCGTCCTTGTCTGGCATGAGGTCTGCCGTTGCTGCTGCCGACGTTGGTTGCAAACCTCAAGCAGCTCAGTCTCAGACAACCGGGAATCCTGTGTGGCTTCACTTGACAGCGACTTAAACACCGACGTGGTAGACGCCACCAAACCCCTGATAACCCCTAAACCCTAAACCCTAAACCCCAAACCCTAAACCCCAAACCCTAAACCCTAAACTGCTGTCTCTCTTCGAGTCCGAGGTGCCCTCATACCAGAACAGGAGCGCGGTTCACTCAACTTGGGGTTCTTGATCCCACTGAGGTCCGAACTCAATGCTCGCTTGAATGAATACTGTTTCTGCTTGCTGGCTTCTAGGGTTGAACTGGTTCCTCCACGGCGCCATGTCCTTGCGAACAGCCCAGTTGGCACCAACCGAATTTCGAACAGGTCTGAGGGCCACACCCTGTGCCGCTTGAATCTCTGGAGGCGTGAGCAGCTGCACGATGGCATCATGCCCTGCGTTTAGAGTTTAGGGTTTAGGGTTTAGGGTTTAGGGCTTGGGGTTTAGGGTTTAGGGTCCAGGGTTGGAAGGGGATTCAGCCGACGGATGACGTTGAGTCCGCACAGCAGGCCTTTGTTCTTGGCGTAGTCCACAGGGCGAAAGCCTTTTGAGTCCTGGCTTCAACTTTCCCTCGCTGTGTCCCCTGTAGGGTTTTAGGGTTTAGGGTTGAGGCTGTTGGGAACCCTCAACCCACCCAAAAAGGCTGTTGGGGCTGTTCTGTAAAATTTAGCGTTCAGGGCTCTGCGTTTCTCTGGGGCTTTCGGGGTGAATCTGCGGCTTAGGTCTGCGTCGCCGTTCGTCCATCTTTCTGGGGGCCCTATGTCACCAAACAAGAACAACGATTGACTTAATTAAGGGTTTAGGACCTAGGGTTAAGAGGGTTCGGTAGGAGAAGGACAGCACCCAAAAAGACAAATGATGCTGTGAGACAGCAGTGCGATGGACCACGAAACTCACAACCAGAAGCAAGCCATGCCGTGGGCGGTCCTGCTTCGCAAGGCTGTGTTCCGCACCTCAGTTTAGGGTTTAGGGTTTAGGGTTTAGGGTTTAGGGTTTAGGGTTTAGGGTTTAGGGTTTAGGGTTTAGGGTTTAGGGTTTAGGGTTTAGGGTAAGCTCTGAACCCTAAACCCAAAGCCCCATACCGGATAACCCAGCTCCCGGCATGCAGAATGTCAGCTCCCAGGGCCAGAGTTCTGGGGCATGGGATCATCCTGCAGGTTTAGGGTTTAGGGTCTTCCGGGGCAAATTATGAGATCAGGCGGCAGCGCCGAAGACTTCCGAGCTTGGGAGTCGCGGTTCCCACTCAGAGGTCCCGCTACATGTCGACAGATAATGGGCTTTCTGGATATAGGACTTTGTGGCTTCGAACTTTTTGGTCACAAGCTCCGAGCTGCGTCCATCCATCGAGAGTAGTCCAACACAACTGGTGAGACGGAGCATTCCGCAGACGGCTGAGGCTGAGGCCAGCCCGTAGCAGAAACTCGATGGCCTTCTCCTGTGGAAAGTGCACCCCGTGGCCTCCTCCCCCTGCCTTCTTCCTCGCCCTGCTTGAAGACTTGGGACTCATCCATTTCCCCTACAATTCAACCCTGGCCCTCCTATCCCCTATAGAAGTAGGTTCTCTTCCTAGATGGTGCCCCAAAACTTGTTTTCCGCACTTCCAGACAGAGGCTGGGATTTAGTGTTGTAGCAACCTGCGCACCCGTCCTCTCCCATCTGAGCCGCTAGGTGGAGGCCCGTGAATCCATCTTGCCACTTGATCTGAGGCGATCTGGGGCTTCGGCTCTGAGACACCGAGGGCATAATGAGGTTCTTAGGCATGCATGCAAGGTGAAACGATGCGGCCATTGGTGATCCGGGCAGGAGGATCCACTTAGGTCTTAGGTTGGGGTGTGTTGTGTGTTCTGTTCTGTTGTCTGTTGTGTCGTGTGTTGTGTTGTGTTTTGCGTGTTGCCTGTTGCGTGTTGCGTGTTGCGTGCGGCGTGTTGCGTGTTGCGTGTTGCATGTTGCGTGTTGCGTTGCGTTTCGTGTTGTGTATTGTATGGTGTTTCGTGTTGTGTTTTGTGTTGTGCTTTGTTTTGTGCTTTGTTTTGTGCTTTGCGTTGTGTTGTTTTGTGTTGCGACATCATATCCCATCTCCCCTGCACTTGATGTACTCTGAGCTGCAGAAACTTGTTCTTTCCAAATTTGTAGAGGTCGCTAGCACATGGTGGGGCATACTTGGCTGCTCTGCTATCGAGGCCTGCGTTTACTCCCTGAAGACAGATATAGGGTGGTCAGGGGTCCGTCAAATGGGACCACAGCTGCTAATGGCGAAGTGTCTTCCTTCCCTGGCCCACCTTTACCTAGGCCATGCAGCCCACCTGACTCTTACCCGAACCCTAAACTACCTTGAGCAGCTCAACGTTGCCAGGAAAAAGTTATGGTCAACAATCGGCGAGGGTTTGCTTGCTTTCTATGCTTCCTTCTTGTAGGCCCAAACCCTAAACCCTAAACCCTAAACCCTAAACCCTAAACCCTAAACCCTAAACCCTAAACCCTAAACCCTAAACCCTAAACCCTAAACCCCAAAACCCTAAAACCCTAAAACCCATACAGAAGCTCTGACCAGGAGGGGCTGCCTTGGTCCAGCCACGGCGCTTCACCGCCTCGCAAACTTTTCGAAGCTCGGGCCTTGCGCCGGGCATAGGGTTTTGGGTTTTGGGTTTTGGGTTTAGGGTTTAGGGTTTAGGGGCGTTGGAAATGTCAAAAGAAGCTGCATGCTCAGTGAACCCAGGACATCAACCAAAGGTAGGCAAGAGAATCTGCAGCAAACCCCAAACCCCAAACCCCAAACCCCAAACCCCAAACCCCAAACCCCAAACCCCAAACCCCAAACCCCAAACCCTAAACCCTAAACCCTAAACCTACAACAAAGGTCTGCATAGGGACTCTGGAAGAGTTTCACGGATGCAAGGGCTGAATTATGTGGAATGCATGAGCGGGGCAATGTATTGATGCAAAGAACAACGCCGCTTGTGAGCCACTGCAGATCGTCTTCAGACAAGATCACCCCTCTTTCAAATTCTTGGTTTCCCAGAAGCTGTGAGGGCGATGGTGCGTAGCTATGGATTCATTTTCGGTCTCTGGGTGTTTGGCAGGTGGGCGCAGTGCCTCCTGAATTCCGAGAAACAACCCTAAACCCTAAATCCTGAATGGGTTTAGGGTTTAGGGTTTGGGTTTAGGGTTTAGGGTATAGGGTATAGGGTTTAGGGTTTAGGGTGTATACGGTTTAGGGTTTGGGGTTTAGGGCCACGCTTCATGAAGAGACTGGATGCCTCAACAAGATACACATATGTATACGTTGCACTCCCGCTCTCTTTGTGTCTTTCTTTCCGTCTTTCTTTCTGCCTGTCTGTCGTTCGTGCTGAATTTGTTTCTGTCCTTCTTTCTTTCCTTCGTTCTTTGTAGAGTTCTTTCTTTCTCTCTCTCTCTCTCTCTGTTTCTTTTTCTTCTACTGGCATGAAGGAGGGCGAAACCCTTCCGCACATCCAGGCGCGCCCGAGGCGTATGTGAAACGGTGGACTGCGACGAAAACGCCCGAGCGACAAGTGTGGTACGTATACCTCTATAGGGGCTTGTTGTTCTCGCCCGAAGGGGGCGATTGTGTTTTCTCACCACCGAATTGGACATGAAACTGCCCTCCCCAAAAGGTTTCCGGGCTCTAGACTCCACAGTGTCTTCCTAGAAGGTACAGTTTGTGCCTGGTTCCTACTCCCGCGCTGCCCCTCCTCCTTCGCGGCACACGTTTTGCCGTTCCCCGCCCTCTCTCTCACTCTCTCTCTCTCTCTCTCTCTCTCTCTCTCTCGCTCTCTCTCTTGCTCCCTCTCTCCTTCTCAAGCGCTCTCTCTCTCTCTCTCTCACTCACTCCCTCCCTCTCTCTCTATAGAAAAATATAGATGTAGAAATATATATATACAGATTTAGATATAGGTATAGATATAAATAGTAATTTGCTGCGGATGTTCACGATCGCGCGCCTCAAGGCTGCAGGAACAGGGCCAGGATCCGCACTGCGAGCGCGAGGCCTCGACGATGCGGCTGGCAGCCAAGGGGCTCAGTGGTTCACTTGAAACCACAAAGTTCCAAGAACTATCCGATCTTACCTGAACTATCCCAAACATGGAGTCCGACCTATGGGGCCCACATTTGCAGATCTCCTCGTAGATAGGACAGCCAGGGATCATACCACCGGCCTCTAGGGGCCTTGTCATCGTATGTGAAGAAGCCACTCAAGCTTTCCGACCTAACCCCCTACAGCCCTTCCTACACCCCGATACCTAAACCGCCCTACCCTAAACCCTAGACCCTAGACCCTAAACCCTAAACCCTAAACCGTAAACCCTAACCCCTAAACCCTAAAGACCCTAAACCCTACCTTCACCCTTCTCCACCAAACACCCTAGACCCCTCATTAAACTCTAAATGCTGAGGCCGGCTCTCCTTTGAATCACCCGGAGCGTGGTCCTGCTTCGACGCGGGTGTAGGGTTTAGGGCTTTAGGGCTTTAGGGCGCAGGCGGGTTTAGGGTTTGGGGTAGTAAGGGTGCCGGGTTTTGGTTGGGTGTTGCGGGGGGTTCAGGGTGCAGAGTTTGAGGGTTTCAGGACCCCGCGTTTAGCGCACCTTCCCTCTCGGACAGGGTTTAGGGTTTAGGGTTTAGGTTTTAGGGTTTAGGGTTTAGGGTTTAAGGTTTAGGGTTTAAGGTTTAGGGTTTAGGGGCAACCTGAGTTTTTTGCACTCTGGTGGAAGGCTTTTGGAGTGAAAAACCCTGGATGAAATTATGATCATCAGCTGTGGGCTACGACTGGAAGATCCAAATACTTAACTTAGCTGCAAAATAAGTTGAAAATAGGCTTGCAATATACAAGTAAGAACCAGACATAGAAAAAAGGGTTCTCGAACAAAAAAGTAGGGTTCAAATAGCAGCAGCCCAGAGAATGCATGGGCACCTGGCTACTCAAAGAATTGAAATGTCGCCTACAAACCTCCTGTGGGGTGAGTGATAGTGATAGCCCGCAACTGATGCACATGACAATACTGCATGTCTGTCACAAAACGGAGAGGTACCCCCAAGCGGGGACACTACTTTGTATAGTTCCAAGGGCGGCGTGGTCCAATCACATTCACGAAGCAAATAACGAAAAAAACTCTTCTGATGGAGACTCACGCTATCCATGGTGAATCTATTCAGCTTGAAAAGTTTAAGTAAATCGTGACCTCTTGTTTCCTACTGCCGCCCCTCCCCTGTTTCCCTCCCGCCACCCGGGGGGTGGATGTGGAGGGCTTAGAGGTGCGCAGGAGAGGGCGGAGGCGTCCAGGAAAAACAGGTCCGGAGAAAGCAAGAACCATTAAAACATCGTCTGCCGTTTCAGGAAGCGTGCGGTTTCAGGAAGTGTGAGCAGGGTTGAGCGTTTGCCAAACGTTCTCTTCTTTTGCGGATTCCTTTGCAGTGTCATGGTTTGCCATGCTACATCTGCTCTTAGGGTTCATCGTTTACAGCTTGTGCTTCTGGCTTTTGGAGGTCACTGGTACAACCAGGGGTTCTCCAAGAATTCTGTCTCCAGCCCAGGTGTCCGAACCGCCGCCTGCAAATGCGTCCCGAAGCTTTCGCGCGCTTTCGCTTCGCAGGCTGCGTGCACTGTCGAGTTCCCGCTCATGCCAGCATGCTGTCAACAATGCTGACAAACAGAAAGCATATCACGTAGGGCACAACAGCAACGAAAGTTCTTAAACAGCATGCATGTTGCTTCGACCCCGTCGTCCTTGTGTGCCTGCGCTTTCTCTTCTGCAGCCTCAGCCTGCGAGAGGGGCGAATGTTCCATTCGGCCAGCTGTCATCCTACGCTCCTCGCAAACTGCCGTGAAAGCGGCCCTGAAAATCTGCAGCTAAAGAACTCCCTGGGCGCCGTGTTCCCATGCTCTGCTGCGAAGAATGGCATCCACAGCCTCAGAAAAACGGCTGCCGAGCCGAGAAGGGCGGAGTTTCGTTTTTTTCATGTAATGCCTTTGGTTGAATTGCACAGGCAGGAAGAAAGACTGCGAAGTTTTGGAATGTGCCTCAAATCACCAGCACAACAGTACGAACTGCAGGCTAGGGGCAAGGATGAACAGAGATATTCTTGGTTATTTACCGCGTGTGCAATCAGGACCTCGAGTTACGATTGAAGGCCCTCAATTTCGCCACAGAGGCCTCCACCAAGTCCACAGCATTCTGCTGTGGGAGCCTGCTCAACTTCTGGACGACGCTCGTAAACTCCTGGGCTATTGCCGGGGAGTTTGGGAGGGAACAAGCATTGCTAAGGCGTCAACCCAAAACTGTTGGACCCTTGCTGGCATCTTTGTATAGTCAGAATTGCAATGCAAGGGGGTTCGCAACAGGGTCTTCGGTAGCTTAGAAGTTCCAAGTGAAACGCTTGTGTCATGGCAACTTCCACCAAGGTGCTTGGGCGCGCAGGTCCCAGTGCTTCTCGGGATCTACGGATTTCAGCACCAAAGAGTTCTGCATCCATCGTTCGCCCATCTCCTGCAAACTTCAATGTTCAAACGTAAACTTGGCAGGTTGCCAGTTGCACCATGAGAGTCATGAGAGCAAGCAAAAGGAGCTGCACAGAAAGCAAGCAGCCAAAAAAAGGGAAGCTCATGATCACAATCCCTTGGCTCAATCTCCACAAAGCTTCCTTCACGTCCTAGACGAAACACACGTTACACTTGCTTCTAAGATCTCTGCTTCCCTTCTGCATGCATACAGGTATGGACACACAAACACATGTGCACCTTATGCTCCTAGGCCTCTGCTCGAGAGATCTGGATCAAGGACTAGGTAGGGTTAAGGGTTCAGGGCCTAGGGTTCAACCCCTCCAGTGCTTCCCACAGTCGACCTCCCCCACATGCCCATACTATAAGGAGACCCCTAGAAGGGACCCTTAATCTTTTTCTCCGATATAACCCCTATATATACCTCATACAGACCCTAAAAACCTAAGAACCCTAAGCCCTAAACGTCTCCTCCGTCGGAACCTTGCCGGGCAAGCCCCTACTGGCCACCACCAAGGCGCAGAGCACCCTGGCCGTGGGCGGCTTCGCCTCCTCGAATTGTACCTGGAGACTTCTGAAGCAGGGTTTAGGGTTTAGGGTTCAGGGTTTAGGGTTTAGGGTTTAGGGTTTAGGAAGAGCCGGAATAAGGAAAGGGCACACCGAAGCACACAGACATTGGCCTGGTCTCAGAGATTACTCGGTGCGGGCCTGCGAAGCCTCGCTTCATTACGGGTAAGGCAAGAACGCCATGGCAGAGCCCATGCAAAACCTAGTATAAGCACCCTTCCAAGACCCAGTCCCAACAAACACGGAAGCCAGCCACATTGGATCTGCCAAGAATCCCCCAACAAGCCTGCAAAATAATTAAGTAGCACGTCCAGTATCATTACACTCAAACCCCACTCTAACTTTCCCAGGCCCTACATGCAAGGGCCGTCTTTGGGCACCATCCACAGTGAGATGAGCTCTTCCATAGCTTTGGCCATCGCGCGACGCTGGCGAGATGGCCCGAAGCGCAGCAGTATGGCTCGGAGGGCCATGACGGCTGCCAGGGCCTGCTTCAGAAGGCCTGGCTTGTGCCGACAGGTGGACTTGCAGTAGGGTGGAGCCCGAAGCCCTAAACCCTAAACCCTAGCTGAATGCTTTCAAAGCACTGCCACGTGGCGTAGACTCCTTGGTCTTCTCCAGTTTCCAGCCATCATCGAGAACCGACCAGGTGAACTTGAGACACTCTTCCTCAGACTCCTGCGTGGCAGGTTCAGGGTTAGGGTGTAGTGTTTCGGGTTTAGGGCCTTGAAAGTCTGCATGAGGCTTTATGAACCACCAATGCCCACTTTCTTTGCCCTTGGCTGCTTGCTTCGGTGCAGAGCAACATGGGCTTTCGTACCACGTACATGTAAGCACCTAGGGTTTCGGGTTTAGAGTTCGGGGTTCTCTGGCTGTTTTTCACCGGCCCTAGTTTAAAGGCATGTCCTTGGCAGAAGAGGCCGAGGAAAGATCAGCAGCTCAGCCGGGTCCATGAAAGGCCCGCTTCAAACTCTCAACAACCACCACGGTAGAGGTTGCTCCAAATGATCCTAAACCCTAAACCCTAAACCCTAAACCCTAAACCCTAAACCCTAAACCCTAAACCCTAAACCCTAAACCCTACTTCTAGTATACTCCGATTCTTCAAGGTGCCCAACATCGGGTTCTAAGTCTAGAACGAGAGGATGCCAAGCCTCAGGGGCTCCCAAGACCAGAAACCCTAAACCCTAAACCCTAAACCCTAAACCCTAAACCCTAAACCCTAAACCCTAAACCCTAAACCCTAAACCCTAACCCGGCCCATCCTGGAAGAGTGGCAGCAAGTAGTTCACCGCATACTTCTGCAGCATCTTGACAACACCTTGAAACCGGAGAACATAAGGGTATAGGGCATGGGGGTTTTGGGTCTCGTTTTGTCTGACATCGGGTTATCAACCCCTTAAACTTAACCCTAAACCCCCGCCCATTATCTAAACCCTAAACCCTGAACTCAAGACAGGGCTAGCTGGAATGTAGACAGGCTCTGAGCACAACCCCCCCCCCCCCCCCCACCCCCCCCCGCTCCCCTCCCCCCGCACCCTAGACCCTAGTGCCCACTCCCCCTCCTGCCTCCCCCCCTCTGCGCACACCTGTGATCATAGATCCATGCTTCTCCTTTAAGACTTACCTTGCCATATACAAGCCTGAAAACTGATAAACAACCCAAGATGTTGGAATGCTTGGTGTTCTTGAATCCTAGATGCCCCCAGAGTGCTACTCGAGCAACCAAGGATACCAGGCCAACAGCAAGAGGAGGCATCATGATAAATGTAGCTCTACCCCAAGTGGTAGATCGACCGGCCTGCCAGCGTTGCCCTCATTCCTTGCTTTGGATTGGCAACCAACAGCTCCTGTGCAAACCAAGCAGAGACATCCTTTACCATGACTTGCTATGTGAGCTTGCTGAGCTTACAGTCAGTCCTACACCCTAAAACCCTAAACCCTAAGCTCCATACCAACGCCTTCTCCTCTTCCGCTTCCGCCTTCAACTCCGTCGAAGCATCCCGGAGGAATTGGGCGGCGATATGCATCACCACGAAGCAGCTAGCAGAGGCCATCATGGCAAAAAGGAAGACGGCCGAGAACCAGACTCTTCGCGGCGACGTGTCAGAGGAGAAGAAGATGAGCAAGATCGCCTCACTGTTCATGATCGCGTGCACGTTACACATCTCTACGCGAGCAACTGCAACTTCCCTACAGCCCGCGCCCCGATTTCAGCTGCCACCTTGAAGCCGCATCCTAAAACCCCCTACATAAAGACCTGAAACAGAGCCAGGCCACTACCACACTGAAGAGCAAAAAACGAGCCGCCAGCAATACGAACTCCAAAAAGTCCAGGAGCTCCGCCTGACCGCAGCAAAGTTTGAAACTTGTAGGGGTTTTGACGGTTTAGGGTTAAGGGTTGAGGGTTTAGGCTTTGGGATTTTCGGGTTTGGGCTTTGGGTTTTCGGGATTAAACTACATGCTGAAGCTGGAGGTGAATCAAAGCCTACAATCAAGAAGTCGTGGGTGCAAGTGGCCCTTAACCCATGACACTCACCTCTCGTCCTTGCCTCTACAATCCTACGAACTTCGACGCTCGGATGCCTTCGCGGGTAGTGTTTGGGGTCTAGGGTTCAGAGCTTAGGGTTTGGGGTGTGGGTCTTGCCTGCTCGTTCGAGTAGGGCCGACAGCGCGCGCACAGCGCCAGCTGGAGCCCGGAAAGCAGTGGGTAAAGCAGCAGCTTGGCGCGCTCATCATCCGCCAGGGACGTATAGGTCACGAGCAGCATGGTGGCAATGTCGGCTCGCTTCACGATCAGGTCCCACCACCAGTAGCGGTACTCCAAGCCTTGTATGAAGTAGCCGAACTTCCGGTAATTCTCAGGATGTTGCCGGTCCTCTGAAAACACGGAAAGAAAGCTACCGTAATAAGGAGAAAAATGTTTACCTTGTAGCCCTTTATTCTTGAACTCGGTTTTTCATCGTTGTCCGCAATGATCGAAAGTTTTCCGGGCTTATCCAGGATTCTGGGATTGTTGGGGGTACCCGCTCTAATCGAAAGTTTTTCGGGGGAGGAGCTGCTTTTCAAAGTTTCCTTGGCTTCCACGAAAGCCAGAAAGCCTCCAGCCCCCAGACCATAACCCCAAACTTGTTTGCACGGGGCGGGTTGTGTTTGGCTTCACTTTCGAGAGGGTCTGAGATTTGTGGAGGGGAGGGGGTTCTAAAACGAGTGCAAACATTAACCTCTTTCAAGTTCCTTAACAACCCAGTCCTTTAACCTCCATATCAGTGTGAAAAGGCAAGCTGGAAGGCCCGCGCACCAGAAGATCAGCCCAAGGCAAGCTACGCAAATGAGCGGCACGTGCACTTCGGAACCACACTCGATGTTGGGGTGAGGAAGCAGTCGTTGCACAATTCGGCCCTCCTGTGCTATGGGGCTGCACCAGACCATCTGCAGAAACTTGGAGAGCAACGTGGGCCAGATACCGATCAGCGTTAGCCAAATGACCGGCGTGCACTGCTGCACCAGTTCTCTCGGCTTCGGGAAAGGAGTGAATAAGCCGAAATCCAGTGACTCCATGTCGACAGCTACACCGGGACCTCCCGACTCGTCCACTTCCACGCTCTGGTGCTCGCTGGTCTCGGGCACTTCCTGCTTCAGCTTCTCAATCTGGCTGTGCAGGACCTCAAGAAGCCGAGCCGGTATATCCAAAGTCAGACGAAGCCCGCGCAAAGAGGTGTGCGAATCGGCTACGGCAATCGCGAGCTCGCGCACGGACAGCCCAGAAGCAACTGCCACTTCCTCAAGCTGTCCTGACAGAGGGGAGGTGCAAGAGCCACTGGTGGATGGGTACTACAGGCTCCTCTTGGGATGTTCCCCCTTCTACTAACAGTCCTTAACAGGGATTATAGTACCCCCCATTATCATCCCATCTGGTCATTCGTTTCCCTACGGCCCCTCCCTAAGCCTCCAGCTCGGATTCCCGCGACCACAGGTTTTTTTGCAACAACATGGGCACAAAGAGCTCATAAGGCCTTTGAGTACAAGGGAGTCCAGACTCTGTAGAAAGTTTGGGTTCGCGTGCAAAGGGGGGTAGGATGCCCATCATATTTGAGACCCTGCTCAAACCCGACTAGTCGCAGCAGTCGGCCTGCAAACCCTGCACGACGAAATCCCACCGTTTAAGAGTGCTGACAGTTCTTGAAATACTGTCCCTTCTGTTCCCGATGTGCTTCGGGTTTAGGGTTCAGGGCTTAGGGTTTAGGGTTTAGGCCTCAGGGCTGGTGACTCCGTCTGATGCCGAAGAGAATCATGCTGCTGAGGAGAGAAGGGGCAGGTTTCCATGATTCGAAAGAACCTTCCGATAGACAGTAGGTGCGATGGTACCAGGTTTTCCACACACTCCTCAACAGAGCTTGAATCCAATATTCGAGGTTCTGACGGACATCCCGCTAGCGTAAGTCATTCCACCGGCTCTGGCGTGCTCAAGTGCCAGATTTCATGGTGAGGTAGCGGCTTAGCTCACACAAGCATCTGTAAACACTTTTCCTCCACCTTCGCTCGGCTCACGATTCACAGGTGCGTCATCCCCGGAATTTCTCGTTCGCTTTGGAAACCTGATTCCAACGCGTGGATTCAGAGCGTCGATGAACTCTTCCGCGGGATCCCTGCAATTACATGATGCCAGGTTGCCTAAATGCGAGGAGTCCTGGAATTCAGGGATCTTCGGGCAGGGGTTTGGGCCTGCCTAAGGGGCTGAGAAAACTTGTTGCAGGAATAGCTTAAACCCGAAACCCGAAACCCTGAACGATTCAGGGTTTCAAGTTGTTCTTGGATTCAGGCTCGGGGCTCAGGGTTCAGGGTGGCTCAAAGGCATTGTGGACTTTAAGGTTGAGGGTTGTTGTGTTTAGGCTTCGGGCTTGGGATTAAGGTTTATATAGGGTTTAGGGTTTAGGGTTTAGGGCTTAGGTTAGGGTTTAGGGTTCGGGCATGGGATTTTTAGGGCCTTCGTTTTATTGTTTGGGGGATGACTGCGCCACACGATGCAAGGGATCCTACGGCTTAGGCACCACCGGCCTGTTTGCTGACAAGAGACGGGGGCATCTTTAGGGTTTAGGGTTTAGGGTTTAGGGTTTGGGGTTTAGGGTTTAGGGTTTAGGGTTTGGGGTTTAGGGTTTAGGGTTTAATCGTTGCTTCAATCTGACTGACAGACAAAGCATCGTTAAGGCGCGCTTCGGCGCTAGAATTTTTTCAGGTGTCCGTCCAAGCGACGTTCGCCTCGTAACGTCTAGTAGCTGCAGCACATCCCAGCTCAGTAAGAGCTGTCGTCGAGCTTCCGCTTCTTGGGGTTTCTGGCGCCGCAGCACTCGCGCAGGGCGGGCAGCAGCGAGGATGCCCCGAAGCGGAGGACAGTGGAGTCCACCTTGTGCACCGCCCGACGATCACCGAAAAGGATCTCGGCCGCCATCTCCAGGTACCTCAAGAAATAAGAAACCCCAACAAGCCTACTATTCAGGTAACTTGCTGGTTCTTAGTAGGGAATGAGGGAATGAGGCACCCTATAGCTTAAAACCCAACCCCAGCTGAAACCCTAACCCCAAACCCTAAACCCTACTCAAACCACAAACCCTAAACACTCAAACCCTAAACCCCACCTTGTATCAACCCCCAGGTGCACAGTGGGTGTGGGGTTCTTAGCCCTGAGGCCTAAACCAAAAACCTAAACCCTAAAACCTAACCCCTAACCCTACCCCCTACACCCCTAACCCCTAAACCCCCTAAGTCCGTAAACAGGTACACCCTGGACTGCGCGAGGTCTCGGACGCCGCCCGCAGCCTTGAAGCCGATCGGCTTGGATCCCGGCGCCTTCCTGTGGGACGAAATGGGTGTATGTAGTTATATATATATATATAGGGTTTAGGGTTTAGGGTTTAGGGTTTAGGGTTTAGGGCTTACGGTTTAGGGTTTAGGGTTTAGGGTTTAGGGGTTCGGGGTTAGGGGTTTAAGGTTTCGGGTGTAGGGTTAAGGGGTTTAGGGTTTTGGGTTTGAGGTTTAGGGTTTCGTCATATACCCCATGTACTACTACAAGCCCCATGAAGTAGATATGAGTCATATGCTCATATGAGCCATAACCCTAAACCCTAAACCCTTAACCCTAAACCCTAAAGCCTAAACCCTAAACCTTCAAAAGGTTCATCTAGTCCCCAAGGTTCTGGTGCTTGGCGATCACCTCGAGCATGACCCTCGCCACTTCCGGGGTGGCGTTGACCTGGACCTGTTCAGGGTTTAGGGTTTATAGGGTTTATAGGGTTTATAGGGTTTATAGGGTTTATAGAGTTTATAGGGTTTATAGGGTTTATAGGGTTTATAGGGTTTATAGGGTTTATAGGGTTTATAGGGTTTATAGGGTTTATAGGGTTTATAGGGTTTATAGGGTTTATAGGGTTTATAGGGTTTATAGGGTTTATAGGGTTTGATATTTGATAGGGTTTAGGGCCTTCCCCGTGGAGGTCTTCGTGAAGTCGCAGCCCCCGGCGATCGCGGCGCGGCTGGCGGACTCGATGAGCCTGGCCTCCTTCCTGAGTTCTCCAATACCCAAGGAATAAAAGGTTAGGTTTAGGGGTTAGGGGTTAGGGGTTAGGGGTTAGGGCTTAGGGTTTAGGGTTATTCTTCTTACAAAACAAGAAAGCCCAAAAAAGTTTAAAGTTCTACTATTGGCTAAGTGAGCTTCAGCTCGCCGGACTCGATGATGACCTTCAGCACCACCTCCTTGGGGCAGACCGCGCGAACGGCGCTGACCAGGGCCTTCGCGGCCTCATGCCCCTTCGCCTCATCCGCCAGCATCAGCTGATAGTCGATCACGACGTCGACCTCATCGGCGCCGTCGGCCACAGCTACCTTGGTGTCCGCGACGACCTTCTCCACGGGCTCCTGCCCGGATGGAAAGTTGACCACGGTGCAGATCTTGAGGGAGCGAGCGTATCGCTGCGGCTGCTGCGCCTGCATCTCGCGCAGCATCTTCACGAACTTGGGATAGACGCAAAGAGCGGCCGTGAAGGGCTCCTCAGCCACGGCCGCATCTGCCAGGCACCGGATCTTCTCCTCGGTGTCGTCGAGCCCCAGGCTGGTGTGGTCGATGAGGCCGATCGCTTGGCGAGCCATCATCTCGTCTGCCGTCGGGAAACTCTTCTGCGTGCCCTCGCGGGTGACGCTGACACTGGCCACCGAGTTGCCCGTGGCCATAGACTCCAGCATGGAGTTCCCCGCAACGTAGTGTGCTGCGAAGGCGCCGAGGAACGAGTCACCGGCGCCCGTGGTGTCCCTGGCCTTGGCAGGAGCACCGGGGACAAAACATGGCGCCCCGCCCTCGAAGAGCGCGCACCCACGCTCGCCCAAGGTGACCAGGACGCGCTTCGCGCCCTTCTTCATCAGGGCCCCGACGGCTTCGGCGACCTCGTCGTTCGTGCTGGTGGGCATGCCGCTGAGCATCTGAAGTTCGGGCTCATTGGGGCAGACAATGTCACACAGCGGCCAAATCTCATCGGGCAACTCCTTCGCCGGCGCAGTGTTCAGCAGTGTCTCCACGCCTTCCTCCTTGGCAAGGCGCAGCGCTGCCAACGTCGCCGCCAACGGCGCCTCCAGTTGCACGATCAGCAGCCGGCAGCCCCTGATCTTCTCGCGGGCTTTCTCCACGTCTGCGGCGCTCAGATGGTCCAGCGCCCCTGGCACGATGATGATCGAGTTCTGGCCAGTCTGCTCGCAGACCGTGATGGGCGCGACGCCGGAGGATGCATTTGGGACCGTCTGCACGAACTCGGCGTCGACGCCCTGCTCCCGGAAGTTGCGCAGTGTGTCGGCACCGAAGGTGTCGTCACCCAACTTCGAGACCATCACGACGCTCGCGCCAAGCCTGGCAGCCTGCACGGCCTGGTTGGCGCCCTTGCCGCCGAAGCCGGACGCGAACTTGTTGCCGTGCAGTGTCTCGCCGGGACCCGGCATCCGCGGTGTGTAGGCGATGAGGTCTGTGAAGCACGCTCCGACGACGCAGATGCCGGTCTTCGCAGGAGCCATTCTTGCCGCCGCAAAAGATTAGGGACCCTAGCCTAAACCCTAAACCCTAAACCCTAAACCCTAAACCCTACACCCTCAACCCTACACCCTAAACCAAAGGGGCGACTTCGGCACCTCCTGGCAGCGGATCCTGGCTTTGAGCATGAGAGAGGCAAACGGAAGGAGCCACGCTCTGGGACTGCCGCTATTGCCCTTGCCCCTGGCTGAGGGTTTTCTAGGGTTTATAACGCCATGACCCCTTCTAACACAGGCCCCCTAAAACCCTAAACCCTCACCCTAAACCCTCAACCCTAAACCCTAAAACACACTCAAACCTGAATCTGGCCTTTCCGCTGCCAAGCCAATGACCGCTGTAGCAGCTTTTGCAGCCAGGATGATGTGGGACAGTCGAAGGCCTGCCACTTACTTCTCCAAGAACCAAGGGGGAAAATGGCTAAACTTGAATATTCCTACTAAATAAGGAAACCCAAAAAGTTTAGAGTTCATGGCGAAGTAAGGCCACGGGGGGTTCCTTCGGATCCTCTCTGCTACCGTCGTGGGATTGTGGTTTGGAGTTCTCAGGTTTAGGGTTTTGGGCAATCCGAGAGGGTTTAGGGTTTAGGGTGTGCATCAGTGTACGCAATCCGATTTTGGCCGTAAACCCTGGATTTGACTTTAAGCCAGTATACATAGAAATAAAGAAAATAAATGCCGATTACATATACACATGAATATGAATATGAATCTGAATATAAATACAAACATAAATGTAAACATAAACATAAACATGAACATGAACATGAACATGAACATAAACACAAACATAGATATAAATAAACATGAAATTATGAATATGTATCATGGTCGAAAGGGTTTAGGGTTTAGGTTTGGGTCTTCCAGGGATGAAGTTAAGATAAAACAATCAGACTCTTCGCTAAGATCCAAAACCTAAATCCACCTGCATCTTGCTTCTTGCAATTGAAAGCTGGTGCCCTATGTTAAACCCTGAACCCTAAACCCGTACCCTATATTGCGCGTTAACGGGTTCTATTGCGGATGTGGCAATACACAGGGAGATATGGGGTACCTGTGTCCCTAAGTACCAACTACTTCGTTGTTCGAACCAATGAGACTGACTCGATACAGGTCGGGATATGCATACTTGTAGTGACACTGCGCCGGCTGGCTTTGAAAGCCTGACATGGGAGAAGGGATTCAAACAACGATGGAGGAGCAACATTGAATTTTGCCAATCCGACCCGCTTAAAGGAACGCCTGTTGCAGAGACTGCAACGTCATGCCCTCCATCAAGAGATCTGGTGGAGTGCCTGCCAGAATCTGGATGTGTGGCCGCTCTGAGGAAAGGACAGTATAGTGGCTTAACTCTTGGGACGGCTTGTGGTTTAGGGTTTTGGGATTCAGGGCTAACCAATGCAGGTCCCATGCGTTCCTGCCTTCCAGATCCAATGGATCAAGTCCGACCTCCAGGGCATTCGAACTTAGAACTATGGGCCATTTGGGGCCTATGTTGAGGGTCCCACAATTATCAAACCACTACAGTAGTCAGTAGATTCAGTGAACGTCTCAGCCTGCCCCAGCCCCGGCAAAGTCGTTCCTAGACAGATTTGGCCGTGCGTGTGTGCGCGCTTCTACTCGGAACATTCCTACTTGCCCCAACGTGAAACCCGCTTAGAGAACTTTAGGCATAGTCCCGAGGCATGTACTTACTATCTTAAGCTCACGTAATCAGGCGTTCACATCCCGTGGCCTCTTGGCAGAGTGTTGGGAGAGAGGGGTGCGACGCGGCCTGCCTGACACAAAGCTTCCTCGCCGGTGCCTCAGATGTGCGCTTCAAAATGTCATGGTCGCTTCGGTACACAATAGTGCGCGCTCGTCTTCTGACCACACCCATCGTCACATCCTCGCTACTCTGTGCTTTCTTGTGTATAGATCAAGCAGCGGCGCCTCATCTTTCCACCATCCGGCTTTTGTGACGAACGCCCCAGGATCCGCGGCCGCGTCGTCTAACTCCACGAGCTGCCTCGGAAACACTCGAAGCTGACAAGTGACTGGAATCACCAAACCCTCGGAGAAGGAGATCCAAGGAGTCGGATGCAATCATGAGTCCACGCCCAGACATGCCGAGATGCAAGGTCTCTAAGAAGCCGGAGTCTGCCAGGTCTGGCCACGAAGGGCCTGTGCTGTCAGCACAAATACACACTTGCTGCTGTGAGACATGAAGAGGCGTAGCAACCCCACAGGAGGGAAAAAAACACTCAAAGGCTGAGCACCTGAAGAACACTTGAGGCCCATGGAAGTTTCCAATTGAAGTAGCTGCCAAGACTTGCAACTACTGCAACTCTAGTTTTGAAGTTGTTTGAAGATGGCTTTGCACATCTGCTCCAGCTTGCAAGCAAGCAGCCTCTCTGTGAAGCCAGTAGGCATGAAATTGCCTCTTCCAGCTTCGCCATTGCCGTCTTGCCTCGCACGCAAGATTCTGAGTTGCATGAGCACGGTCCCGGAAAGCTCGCAGCTTCAAAGCCTAAAGAGCCCTGAGTTTGTGGAGTTTACCCCCTGAACGTCCCTGAATCCAAGAGGGGCGAGTTGCGCTTCTGTTTCACTTGATCGCGCTCGTTGAAGAAGACTCCGAACCTGGCCCCGAAGGGCACGATCCTTGGTCGAGTCGTCACAGACTTCAGGTGTAGAATCGGAGCATGCCAGGACCCATCATCCTAAGGATACGCAAACTCACATGCAGCTGAAGGTCGCATGAACAACCACGAAGCAAAGGAGGAAACTCCCCAAGACTGCCCAGGCTGGGAGGCTCAAGTAGTAGAGTCCCTGTGCCCACATCCCACCGTGGCATTGAAGCCAGAAATTGACAGAGACGTCCGGTAGTAGAGCCATGACGCTGAAGAGCTGGTTCATGGCATATGTGATTTCCGTGGGCCATGGGAAAAGGGGCGTGCTGTCCGCGCCGTCCGACTCCCCACTTTGAGGGGGCTCTGACCACGCGAAGGGCGTGAGCTGGTCCAGGTTGAAGTGTAGCAGCAGTGAGCATGTGGCCATCCATTGCGTAAAGATTCGGATGATGCTCGTGTGCAGCTTCGTGCCCTTGGCAGCGCCGCGGGCTGCGAGCACCGAGACCACAAAGTTGAGCACCGTGACCTTGACCACGTCTGCCAAGAGCGCTAACACCAGTGAGGCGGACTGCCCCACGCCCTGATGGCAGCTTTGGCAAGGGCTCGGAAAGCCCTGCCGTGCCCAGCCCTCTTCGCACTCGCCACAGAGCACGCCCGAGCTGCCCTCCTCGCAGAAATCTCCGTACAAGCACTGCAGGTCCCCTGGATCGCAGTCGGCCCCTCCCTGGGTGCCGCTGCTGCCTTTGCACACGCTGCCGCTCTCCAAGGTTACGTGGCACTTCACGGCCACAAAGTCTCCTGTCTGGAAGTAGCCTGAAACGGCCCGGGGTCGAGCGTGCCGTCCTGCTTCGAAGTTGCCCGGGCAGCGGAGGCCACGGAAGCCCGCGCAGCTGGCGCAGCGGTCCAAGCGGTCACCGTCCAACTGCGCGTAGTGGTCCTGCAGACAGCATTCAGGAACATGTGATAAGGGGATTTCGGGACTTAAGATGAGGGAAGATCACGAAGTGTGATTCGGCTCTTGTGGGGCTCCGCCTGATCTAAGGGCCTTCCCTCCAGCTTCCTGCTTCGTCCCCTGACCAAGAGCTTTCCACCCTAAACCCCAAACCCTAAACCCTACGCTCAGCTTTGACAAGTCCTGAAGGCAGAAACACCCATCCTCCGATGTGGAGTTGGGGTTGCTCCCAGCGTTGCCCGGGCAGGAAGCACACGCACCAGTCCAGCTGTTCAAAAAGAAGCCGCTGGCACAAAAGCAGTCCTGAATGCTAGCGGCTCCGCTGAAGGAAGTTAGTCCCAAGGGACATTCGAGTTCCCCAGCATCATTGCCAGGACAGTAGAATCCGGCCCTGCACTCCATGCAAAGGTCAGCAGATGAGTTCGCAGTCTTCGGGACTGGCACGTAATGGCCCGCCGGACAGACTAGCCGCAAGGTGACTGCCAAAGTGGAGAATTGCGGCAACTCATCGCAGCGGTGCTGGCCAGAGCACCAGCACAATTCCATGGCTTCGGGGACTGTGCTGTTTAACGGCAGGTCCGAGAGCACAAACTCCAGCACATCAGATGCCTCGTTGAAGGATCCCACAACGGAAGCTGCAGGCGCAGAGGTTGGGAACAGCTTGGTCATCCGCCTTGTCCCGCATTGCTGCAGTGGCATCAGCTTGTCGCCCGGCAACAGGCGGACGCCCAAGAGCCCTGCTATGACGCATCTCGTACCAATTTCACAGGTGGCCGATTGGTTAGGGTAGGGTCCAGCTACGAGGAGGAATCCCCTGGGCACTGTGAAGTTGTCAGCAGCGTCACAAGCGCTGCCGGAGCACCAGCACAGGCGGTACACACCGGGGCCTGTCATCAACGCAGCATCCGTGCCTGCACCCTCCAGAGGTGCGCTGGAGAAACCAGACAGAAGCTGTGGCGGACATTCGGCCATGCCGGTGGTGAGCTGGCTTGGTGCATCCTCCATGGAGCAAGGCTGACCCCTGGCACACTCGATGACAAGCAACGGTTGCGCTTCAAACCCCTTGTAGCGCCAGAGATCATCTCTGTGATTGGCATCCGAACCGGCAAAGACGAACATATTCCGAGACCCCTCGTCCCAAACTGCCGTATGATCTTCGCGTCCGGCGGGGTTTGGGTAAGGTCCAAGAGGTGCTTGAGGAGTCCAAGCCTTGAGGAACTTTAAGCTAAATTACAATAAGGAAACCAAAGTAACACATTATACCAGCTTACTTTATTTCAAGATCATGATGTAAGTTTCTGAACAAGAGCCCAGAAGCATTGGCAAGCAGGCTATAATTCCACATGTCTGCGGCGTAGGTCGTAGAGCCGTTGCTGTCGGCCGTTCCACCAAATACGAGCATGGATGCGGATTGCTGGTCCCAGATGGCTGAGTGGCCAGCCCTACCGGTTACACCGGCTGCAGACATCGGGTGCAGCTCACTCCAGGCATTGCTCCAAGCACTGTAGTGCCACAAATCACTGAGGCGCTGGGTTCCGTCCCATCCGGCAAACACCAACATGGCCTCCGTGCCCACATCCCAGACAGCCGCATGCCGGCTCCTGGGGACCGGCTTTGGCCCAGGTACCACCAGTTCATGCCAAGACCCTTGGGATGTGTAGGCCCACAGATCATTGAGGCTTGAAGACCCCAAGCCCGCAAAGACAAGCATGCGCCTACCACCTGGAATCCACACAGCCGTGTGGCCAGCCCTGCCTTTAGGACGCACCTCGGGTACGAGAAGGGACCACGTGCTCACCAGCGCATCATACAGCCAAAGCTCATCATACACCACATCGCCCAACTGGCCACCGAAGACCTAAGCTGCAAACCAGTTGTTGAGAAGCAAAGCCGGCACGAAATGGATGGCAGCTTGAAAGGCAAAGTTGGGCTGAGAGCCCCCGACTTTCAGGCTATCATGGGCAGGGATTTGCAACACGAGTTAGGCTCAAGGCTCGGCCTGTGTGTTCCAGCAGGCTGTAACTTCGAAACTCAAGCAGCAAGCAACCTCAAAACAAGATCCTGCACCTCAAGTCCAACATGCAGCTCTTTGAGGCGGATACATGCACTAAGGTCGACGCCAGCATCATCTTGGAGGCAGCATCCCAAACAGAAGTGTGAGCGAATCTGGACGTTGGCGCTCCTCCGGAAGGCTCGAGGACGCTCCAAGATTTCGTGGGCCAGCTGAACTGCCACAGGTCGCTGTAGGACTGAAGGTGCGCAGACGCCTCGCCAGCGAAGATGAGAAGGGACTGGTTCGCATCGTCCCAGATGGCCGAGTGGCCTTCCCTTGCCAAGGGACCGCCGGGGAGGACCAGCTGGGTCCAGGCATCGATGTGGCACTGTACTCCAGCAGCCTGTTGGCGGGCGCAGTTGTGGGAACCCCATCCTCTGAAGGGACAAAGCCCCAGAGAGGCTTCTTTGCCACTGCACTGCACGTTGTCCATCCAAAACTTCATGTTTCCGCTACTGAAGCGGAACAAGGGAATGCCGCCTGCCCAGCCCAACTGGGAGCAAGCCACCTGCGCATCCAAGTCGTTCCATTGGTCGTCGCAGACCGTGCCCCATAATCCTTGGTAAAGGACCTCCAATCTGCCTTGCAAGGCCGTGCTGCCATTCAACCGTAACTGGGTCTGTGCAGCCGTGCTAATCAGCTCAAGCGCAGCCAGCCTGTCCCCCATCTCGCCCTCTTGGTCCCCTATGCTCAAACCCCAGCAAACCTGCGCATCGTTGTCAAGCACCGCACAGGTCTCGTCATAACCAGCGGCCGCCTGCTTCACAGTCCGACCACTCCCAACATCAACTGGAGGCAGGAAGCGCCCCATCTCTTGCGGTGTTTCACCAATATTTCTGTTGTGGCCGAGCCCTAGCTCGCCATACCAGTTGCGGCCCCAACACCTGAGTGTGTCGTCGTCCAGCACTGCGCATGTATGTTGTTGTCCAGCTGCCACCTGCTTCACCGTCCGACCAGCTCCCACGTCAACTGGAGGCAGGAACTGCCCCATCTCTTTGGCATCATCACCTATATGTCTGTCGTGGCCGAGCCCTAGCTTGCCATAACCGTTGCTGCCCCAACACCTCAGTGTGTCGTCGTCCAGCACTGCGCATGTATGTCGATGGCCAGCTGCCACCTGCTTCACTGTTCGCCCATTTCCCACGTCAACTGGAGGGAGGAACTGCCCCATCTCTTCCGCATCAGCACCAATCTGTCTGGTGTGGCCGAGCCCAAGCTCGCCAAACCCGTTTTGCCCCCAACACCTCAGTGTGTCATCGTCCAGCACTGCGCATGTGTGTTCGTCTCCAGCCGCCACCTGCTTCACCGTCCGGCCAGCTCCGACGTCCACGGGAGGGAGGAACTGCCCCATCTCTTTGGCATCATCACCTATCTGTCTGGTGTGGCCAAGCCCTAGCTGCCCATACATGTTGTTCCCCCAACACCTCAGTGTGTCGTCGTCCAGAACTGCACATGTATGATCCCCGGCTGCTAGCTGCTTCACGGTCACGTTAGCTCCCAGGTTGACAGCTGCAGACTTCTCCACAGATATTTGCTGCGTATGGCCCATGCCTGCCTCGCCAAAAGAGTTCCTGCCCCAGCATCTACAAGAGCCATCCCCGAGAACCGCACAAGTATGAAAGTTTCCAACGGACACGGCATTCACAGGCGGCAATCTCATGGCGCTCATGACAGTGACCATGAGTTGCTTGCCTCCACAGAACAGAGTCCCCATGCCAGGGTGCAGCACGCAGTTTGAAGAGAAACCAAGAGAGAACTGAGCTGCGGGAACTTCCTCAACATCATCAAGGGTGCTCAGCAGGTCCAAGGAGATCCGATCAAGGCCAGAGAGGTCCCCGAAGCCCCGGAAGCGCAAGACACCAGCCTTGGGCGGCACCTGGTGCTGAAGCTTTGCGCAAGTTGGAATGGCAAACGCAAGTATAGCTCCAAACTCAAATTCAGCTGCGGCACGACCACCTTGACTGACTGCCAGTGGCTGTCTGGGCTGCCTTCGCCCAACCACAACAGCTTGTCGTCGGAGAAGAGCTCCAGTTTGTTGGGAGGCCGAGTCGCACTCACGAGCTGATACGCAAACAACATGACTCTGGCACAGTCCCTCACGCTCAAAACAAGTTCCGCCCGAGGCGCTGATGCTAAGGCAGCTGAGGTGCCTAGGCCTATGCTCACTGGATGGTCAGCGAGGTCCAGGTGCCAGTCTCCCAAATCGCCAGCGAGGCTGCGGCCAGGTCGGCGCTGCCATCCCTCAGTCCAAAGGACGCCCTCACAGGTATCCGCCTCGAAGTCACATTGGACGTTCTCAACGGGCCTTCCAGAAGTACAAGTGCAAGTGCAACATGCATAATTAGCTACTTTGTCTTGGACGGCCCATAAAACAACAACTGACGCAGCAGCTAAGACCCACAAGCTGTCAAATCTTTTCGTCCCCTCCATCGATACCTCGTTCCACACAGCTGCTGAACTGCCGATCCAGAAGTGGGGATCGAGCTAAACGGCGAAGATGCCGTGGGAGTCCAATGAAAAGAAGCCGAAGCCGGGAAGTGCATGTGAGTCTCCGTCTCGAAGTAAGAGATGCCATCGATCACGATGTGAGACTGACGCGGAAATTGTACGCGAATGGCGTGGAGAGTGCGAACTTCGCAGGCACCAAAAGAAAATATTTGTTTCCTCCGAACACAACGACCGTTTGAGGTGCACGGCCCGCCGAGGACTTTAAAGAGCTCGGAATCCAAACCGCTCCTCAGGCTTCTCTCGACGGAGTACAGTCTTGTTAACCCCCCAAACCCCCCAAACCCACACGGGGCTGTGTAAAGATTGGGGAGTCAGCAAATCGTAGGTCTGCTGTTGAACCCGGCTTAGCTGCATGAAATAAGATGCTACTCCACAATTGAGCCTAGAATCGCTTCCATGAGGACAAGCCCCAGAAGAACGCAAGAAGCCATCTTGGTCAGCCCAGATCCCATCCTGGTGGCCAACATGGCTGCAACGAACCCTGCGCTCTGCAAGCCTCGAGGGCACCAGGGGATCTTAAAAAGACATTAGCAACTCGCACCTCCTTATGGCACATACCTGACACAGATCCTCTGGAGAAAAGCCTCCGACTCACTGTTCATCAATGGCCCATCAACAGCCACTGCGAGCTGAACACTCAACCGTAAGCCTTGAGACTGAGAGCCGCTGTAGGCATGGAGAAAGGGCTAGCTTCTTGTACGGCATGTTGTGGCTGTCTTCAGATGGGTTGGAGCGACCTTGTATCGAGAATGTGGAGCAGTCAGTATCCATGTGCATGTTTTTTACATGTAAAAATATACATATAAGTATACATAAATAAATAAACAAACAAATAAATAAATAAGTATATATATATATATTACTATGTTGAAAATCAACTTCCGTGGCTTATAAAATCTTTCAAATAATAAACCCAACATCAAATCTTGGCATTCTCGATTTATTTCGAGATTATGGGTCCTTGTCCTTCGGCTGTATAAACCATGAATCTCATCATGTCTCCTGGTGCATTCATAGTCATGACCACGCATCTTGAAGCTATATTCTCGATAGTATGACTGCAATCCAAAAACTTTAAAAAAATCGTGATAGGTGTATATATATATATGTACATTTACATATACATATACATATACTTACTCATATATATATATACATACATCCTTTTCAATGCCGGAAATTTTATTTCTTGGGGATCGGATATGGTCAATCTCATCTTCCAACACCGAGAGAAATCGTGCGCCATTTCCTGAATTTCAAAGGCTCTATTTCAAAGAATGAAAGTCCAATTTGGGGGGCCTGCCATCCTGTGTGCCATACGACTGCGTACGATGCAAGAGACACCAAACGGGTGAGACTTGAACATGAGTCGAAATTCCTTTTTGGTATAGACAAGATAGAATGTACATGCTCGAAACGTCCCAGTGAGCATGGGATTCAATGGCCATGAAGATTGCAAGAGAATATCCAGGGTGGGGAGACATCATATCGGATCCTGATTTTTGCGCCTGTATGTTTTGACTAGTGGTTTGGCCGGCGGGACATGTGTGTTCGATAGTTGAGGGCCCCAATGACCATTGTACTAAGTCAGCACATCTTCAGGCACCCATGGGATCGTTCTTGCGTGGCTTTTCTCAGCTTCGGGCAAATTCAAGGACGCTCGACCCTTATGGCACAGTCGAGAGCTTGCAGTCTGAAACAAAGGCCGGAGGGGCCCAAGCCAACAGCAAGGAATTTCAACCATTCGCAGCTTCTTCAAGCTGCTAAAGGTTCGGCGAATGCCTTAAACAGGCCGAAGTCAGCCGAAAGCTCCTGGGAGTTGAAAAGTTGCAACCTGATGTTAAACTGGGCCCACCCCATCGAGCTACCTTTTTCAGCATCACCATGCTGCACGTGGGAGGTGGAGCCCATCATATGGAGAACTGAATTGATACGCCACCTGTCCCTAAACCCTAAACCCTAAACCCTAAACCCTAAACCCTGAACCCTAAACCCTAAACCCGAAACCCTAAACCCTAAAACCCTCCCTCGGACGTATCAGCGCCGGTTGCGGCCGCCCCGCAGCAACTCAATGGACCTCCGATCTCCGCGCCTGGTTCCGCTCTCTTGCCTGAAGCCCGCGAGCCTCTGCCCTGCACAGCAACACTTGGGGTTTAGAGTTTAGGGTTTAGGGTTTAGGGCTTTGTAGGGGTATACGCCGCATCGACCGCAACGTAGCATGACTCTGGTTCTACCCGGAGGTCAAGGAGTAGGGTTCTAAGTATGGTAACTTTCCTGATATCTCTATTCAGAGTACTTCTTACCCTAAACCCTAAACCCTAAACCCTAAACCCTAAACCCTATATTTATTCATACCCATGAACCCCGGCACAACCTGCAAGGGCCTTCTCTGAGAGGCAGAAACAAACTGAGGCCTGCAGGTGCCTTCTGCCCTTTGCTTGACACATCTACGGTTTAGGGTTTAGGGTTTGGGGTTTAGGGTTTAGGGTTTAGGGTTTGGGGTTTGGGGTTTAGGGTTTAGGGTTTAGGGTTTGGGGTTTGGGGTTTAGGGTTTAGGGTTTAGGGTTTGGGTTTAGGGTGCAGGGTGTAGGGTTTAGGGTTCAGGGTGTAGGGTTTAGGGTTTAGGGTTTAGGGTTTCGGGTGTAGGGTTGAGGGTTTCAGGTTTGCTCAGCGCCAATCTCTTGACGGAATGCTGTGCTCGGCAAGAGGTCATGACTGGCTTTGTTGCGCTGTTGTGTAAAATGTGCAGTCTTTGGGCGCAGGTGTTGTTTCGAGGACTGCTTCCGAAACCATGCGCAGCAAAAGAAGGCACCCCAGACAGGGCCTGAAAGGGCCTAGAGGGCCACACCACTACGGAGAACTTTGCGCAGCAGATCTTCCAACGGAGCATGCCAAACTCCAAGACCCGGGTCTTACACAGCACCCCAAAACCGATCTTCTTGTGGAGGTTGTGTTTTGCAACAGCCCCCTTATAGACTTCTGGTCAACCCACAGCACCGTAGGCCTTCTAGACCCAAGCGTATCCTAGGCATAACAAAGGGGCGTATAAGGGAACCTAAACCCTAAAAAGAAGGGAAGAATGGCCCACTCTGGGTGCTAGTCTTGGGCTCTTTGAGGCAGTGGAGCCCGCTGAAAAACTACGAATTGCTGAAGAACCTCCAAAAAGTACTAAAATAATTCTTCCTTGCAAGGGTATTGGGGGTCTCAAGCAAATAGTAGAAAAATGAACACAAAACACGCCCAGATGAGGCCAAGGCGCCATTGGCCTTCATGCCTCCCCTCACGTTGCCTCCGCGACCCGAGATCGAAAACCTCACGAATCCCTGGGCCTCCTGCGAGCAGATGAGGAGGAGGATTTAGGGTTAGGGTTTAGGGTTTAGGGTTTAAGGTATAGGGTTTAGGGTTTAGGGTTTGGGGTTTGGGGTTTAGGGTTAGGGCATAGGGGCGCAGATGAAGACTGCGACTGGGGCTTTTGGCTACTAAACCTCCTGAGACTCAACCACTGCACAGCAAAAACGAGTGCCTTCTCATTCAAGTGGCTTGTACCCTAAACCCTAAACCCTAAACCCTAAACCCTAAACCCTAAAGCCTAAACCCTAAACCCTAAACCCTAAACCCTAAACCCTAAACCCTAAACCCTAAACCCTAAACCCTAAACCCTAAACCCTAGGAAGTTTAGGGCCTAGGGTCAGTTACTTCGACAGGGACACTTAATTTTACACAGCCACAGGCCACAAACTGGCAGTCTCTTTAATGTGGTGGTTTCCGAAGTCGAGGTTTACGGTTTAGGGTTTAGGGTTTAGGGTTTAGGGTTTAGGGTGTAGGGTTTAGGGTGTAGGGTTTAGGGTTTAGGGTTTAGGGTTTAGGGTGTAGGGTTTAGGGTTTAGGGTTTAGGGTTTAGGGTTTAGGGTTTAGGCTTTAGGCTTTAGGCTTTAGGCTTTAGGCTTTAGGCTTTAGGGTTTCGGGTTTAGGGTTTAGGGTTTAGGCTTGCTTAGGGTTTAGGGTTTGTAATCCTACTGTTTTGGGCCTATTCTGGCGTACCCCGAGTATCGTAAACCCACATATGTATCCAGCACATAGTCTCGAACCTGGTCGAGCTTTCCTCACAGCGACAGTTCAACAGCGAAATCTCCCTGAATCCTAACCCCTAAACCGTGAACCCTGAACCCTGAACCCTGAACCCTAAACCCTAAACCCTAAACTCTAAGCACATAGCGGGGGGCCTGTCTCCTGCCGCCTCTGCCCGCAAGACGCCGGCCCGGTGCATCCTGGCAATCGGGGCTCTGTGGGATTTTAAGGGTTTAGGGCTTTAGGGATCTCAGGGCTCGAAGGGTTTTCAGGGTTTAAGGGTGTCACCAGCCCCTAAACCCTGAACCCCAAACCCTAAACCCTAAACCCCAAACCCCAAACCCCAAACCCCAAACCCCAAACCCCAAACCCTAAACCCTAAACCCTAAACCCTAAACCCTAACCACGAAAACCGATACTCAAGTATAGCCAGCCTGGGTAGCTCCCCCAAGCTTGCAGCTCGTCCTCTTCCGCCCCTGGCGACTGAGCTCAACGGCACGGCTGAGAATGGCTTTGGTTTAGGGGTTAGGGGTTAGGGGTTAGGGGTTAGGGGTTAGGGGTTAGGGGTTAGGGGTTAGGGTTTAGGGGTTAGGGGTTACGGTGTAGGGTGTAGGGTGTAGGGTTTAGGGTTTAGGGTTTAGGGTTTAGGGTGTAGGGTTTAGGGTTCAGGGTTTAGGGTTCAGGGCTTAGGGTCTAGGGTTTAGGGCTTAGGGCTCAGCAGCTCCGAGCACGAAGGGTGTAGCCGAGCCATTCTCTCGACCAACACACACCCGCCCAAAGAATCCCTAAACCCTAAACCCTAAACCCCAAACCCTAAACCCTAAACCCTAAACCCTAAAACCACATCCGAACATAATTACTTTTTCTGAAACGAAGCGGCCAAATTCAAAAAAGCGGCCAGATTCTGAAAAGACAACGGCCAAATTCTGTAAAGAAAGCGGCCAAGTTCTGTAAAGAAAGCGGTCAAATTCTGAAAAATATAGCGGCCAAAGTCTGAAAATGAAGCGGGCAATTCCAAAAAATAAAGCGGCCAAAATTCTGACAATAAAGAGGCCAGATTCTGAAAATACAGCGGCCAACTTCTGAAAATGAAGTGGCCACCAATTCTGAAAATAAAGCGGCCAAATTCTGAAAACATAGCGGCCAAATTCTGAAGAGTAAGTGGCCTTATTCTGAAAAAAAAAACGCGGCTTTAAACAAGCGGCCTTATAATGCTATTCTGCACACTGCACATCAATTAAGGTGCAATATGTATGGTAGAGAGGGTATAGGGTTTAGGCTTTAGGGTTTAGGGCTTAGGGTTTACGGTCTAACCTTCTTAGGAGCCCCCAAACCCACGAACCTCCCTTTCTTGCAGGTTCTCCAAGAGTTTCTACCAGTAAGGAAAGTCATCATGCAAAAGTATTGGCTTTGAGCTCTTGAAGGTCGGCGTCATGTAGGGGTCGGAAGGAATAATTACTAATATTCTTCCCTTCTGGCCCCTTTATAACTATACAACAACAACTTCACTAGTTATAGAATAGGGTTTTGGGGGTTCTTATGAATAGCCCCCAAACCCCTGCTTTAAATATTAAGGCTTTAGGGTTTAGGGTTTAGGGGTTTAGGGGTTTAGGGGTTTAGGGTTTTGGGTTTAGGGTTTAGGGTTTAGGGTTTAGGGTTGCGGGTTTAGGGTTTAGGGCCCCGGCATTAGCTGATGCCAAGGAGCAAGGAAACCTTAGGGAAACTCAGGGAGCCTTGGGGGAGCATTGGGGGAAACTTGGGTTCCATATACCGCCCTTGATCCCCCTCCCTTAAGGGTTTAGGGTTTAGGGTTTAGGGTTTAGGGTTTAGGGTTTAGGGTAAGAACCCTATATTAAGTTGATGCCGAGGAGCCCGCTTGCATCGCAGCTTCCATGAGACAGGCCGCTGCCTTTGCTTGAAGCCGCGAACTCGTGCGTCGGTCACCTGGTCCTGCAAACTGAAAACCCTAAACCCTGAACCCTACACCCTAAGCCCTAAACCCTACACCCTAAACTCTAAGCCCTAAACCCCAAACATCCCCCCTCCGACCTTCCTCCAAAACCCAAGGATGGGAGAGATGAGCCCTCTGATGCTCAAGAGTGATGCCTCGTCTAGACCTGGGAATAAGACGGGTACCCTTTTTTGGTTTGAAGGGACCGAAGCCCCCCCCCCCCCCCCCCCCCCCCCCCCCCCCCCAAAAAAAAAAAAAAAATCATAAGGTCTACTCTGGGTCCTAGTTGTTCTTCCCGAATGCACACCAGCAGCAGAGCTCAGCAGGGTTTCCCCCTTAACGGCTCGGGGGGTTCCGCAACGCGTTCGCGGGCTTTCGGGCTTACGGTTTTTGAGGCCCAGGGCGTGGGCCGATCATCTTGCGGAATTTGCAGGCTGGGCGGCCAGGGTGCCATGGGGCAGCTCATTTTCTCCGGGTCGCCCGCGCTCATCTTGCAGAAATTCTTGCAGGAATTCTTGCGGCAGTTTGCGTGCCCTGCTACGGAACCTCCGCAGCCCAAGCTGCCAGAAAATGTCGTGGACTCGCAGCTGTAAACATACATCTACATGTAATATATATATATATATATGGTACCCCCCGCCCCCCCACCCCCCCAGTAATGCGCGCTTTTTGTTGCCACATGTTTTTCCCTGGTGCTGCTGATCCTGCGTTTGTGTTTCTTGTTCCTGTGGCCCATCCTTCACCATCGTTCCCGTTCATAGTACCTATGTACTGGTCTTAAAATGATACATGTAGGCCGGTGCAAGCAGGTAATCGGTACAAGTTGTACCAGCTCATGTTTCCTTGAATGAGTATGCCGTCAACTTACTTGAGCAGACAAACCTCAGGTCGATCTCATGATGGAGTTGGTTGAATTACACCCTTAATGAAACTCGGCCCTCCCCACTGAGGAGTTCGCAGAATTCGGCTTGCAATGAAACTACATAACCGGGGGCGGGTGAGCTAAAACAAAAAAAATCATGAACCAAAACGCCTACTCCTGAAAATACTGTAGGCTCCCCCAAAATGTGACATGTAGCGCGGCTCATTATCCTGACAAACCTAATTGGAGGTCATTGAAATAACGACCCAGCAAAAGCTGACACATTCCTTTCGCGCCCCCCGAGACCTAAACCCTAAAACCAAAACCCTGAAGCCCAAACCCTAAACCCTAAACTAAGTAAGGGGTCGCTTCCGTCGAGCGACAGACCCCGAACGCGCGGCCGAGGCCCTTACAGCCCGAGCGCCCAAACGAAAGAGAAACGGAAAGGTGAGGGTTAAGCCTCGCCGTCTACAGGCTAACGGACATCGGCCTTCCTTAGGACAACGTCAGTACTCGGATAAGGATGGCCGGACCCAGACCACCTTTGGCGATGTTACCTGCCTGGGTTTGCCCGATTGCCCCCTGTGGCTGGATTCCTGGACTAGGAGGCTCAGGGCTCAATTTTCTTTCTCTGAGCACGACACATCCGTCGCTTTCAGGCAGGCCTCCCAGGCAGGTCCCAGGCAGGGGCCTCCCAGGCAAACCAGTGCAGGCACCTCCCATGTAGGGCCCCCCAGGCCCCAGACACTGCCTCGCAAGGCAGGCCCAGGCAGGTGGCCCCCAACTTTTCTACAGGCGTCAGAGCCGAAAAGGGCCGAGGCTACGCCGAGCTTAAGCCCTAGCGCTGCAACTTCAAAAACTGAAACACTCATTGGCGAAAAAGTCAAAGGGTTTCCCTGACCTTCAAGTAAAGAAGGGGCTCTACGGGCCCTGACACGCCGAAGGCCCGAAAAGGGCCGAGGCTACCCCCAACCCCAGCTTAAACCCTAACACCGCAACTTCAAAAGCATAAAAGCAAGCATCGGGTGCACAAGAAAAAACTCAATAAACCCTAAACCCTAATAGAGTATGGCTTGGGTGGCCGGGGTGGTCGGGCAACGCGAGCGCGCGGCCCGGGGTGTTTCACACCCGAGCGCGCGCACGCGCGCGCCCTCCCCTGACACACCCGAAACCCTAAACCCTAAAACCTAAACGCTAAACCCTAAACCCTAAACCCGAAGCCTTAAGCCCTAAACCTAAACCCCAAACCCCTCTCCTCACTGAGCAGTCGGCCCCCACTCATCCTGGCGCCCCAGCGTCCGCCTGCTCTCAAACCCTAAACCCTAAACCCTAAACCCTAAACCCTAAACCCTAAACCCTAAACCCTAAACCCTAAACCCTAAACCCTAAACCCTAAACCCTAAACCCTAAACCCTAAACCCTACACTCCAACTCTGCCTGCTCCCATGCAGAAAGCCCCGCGGCACATCGACCCCTCCGACTCCACAGTCGCCGATTGGAGCGTCGAAGGATCCGACATGGCCTCCGGGGTTGAAGCTTTTGTGGGTTTAGGGTTTAGGGTTTAGGGTTTAGGGTTTAGGGTTTAGGGTTTAGGGTTTAGGGTTTAGGGTTTAGGGTTTAGGGTTTAGGGTTTAGGGTTTGGGGTTTAGGGCTTAGGGGTTAGGGGGTTAGTTGTTTGCTCGACTCCAGTTACGCTCAGCGAAGAATTCGAGGGGAGGCGTAAGGGCCCCTGACGGGAAGGCCCTTATGATGGTAGAAATGACTCCCTTCATTTTTCAGACTGTGGGTAGCCTTACGGCGCGAGGGTCCCTTACGGGGAGGCACTTTTCGGGAAGGCCCCGTTTACCTGTACAAACAAAAAAGGGCTATGCAGGAGGATCGGCCCGAAAGTGCTCGATTCCAGCTACGTTTAGCAAGGAATTTATATGACAGAAATGACCCCCTCATTTTCCAGATTTCGGGCAAACCAGACCCTTACTGGAGGCTTTTTGCGAGGGGCCCTTACGGGGAGGCCCCTTACAGAGGCTGCAGCGAGGCCCCTTTTTTGGGAAGGCTCCTTTTTCAAGGAGGCCCCTTACAGGGAGGCCTTTTTCCAGTCCTTCAAAAAAAGCAGCACCACTGTTAAGGGGGCGGCTTCTGACGCGAAAACCCCTTATATGGGGAAGGCACCTGAAACGAGGAGGCATTCTTTACGCGGAGGCCCCTTTATGGAAGGCCCCTTGCGGGGAAGGTCAAACGAGGCCCAAGGAATTCATATGGCAGAAATGACGGGCAGCCAACCAGACCGTTACCTTTCGCGAGGGCCCTTCCGGTGCCACACGGGGAGGGCCCTTACAGGAAGGCCTTACGCTACGGGAAGCCTCCAAGTGAAGCAACACCCGGTGGTTTGGGGCTCAGGGTGTAGGGTTTAGGATTTAGGGTTTAGGATTTAGGGTTTTGGGTTTTGGGTTTAGGGTTTGGGGTTTAGGGTTTAGGGTTTTGGGTTTAGGGTTTAGGGTGGCTTTTAGGGCAGTCCGAAAACCTTCACTCCACTGCAAGAGAGTGGCCTCGTCGCACTTGCCCTGAAATTCAAAAATCGCCTTCAGCCTGAGGTTCCTTTTGTGCATCCTTGGCTGATTTTTGGGGGTTTCCGACATGAGGGATGCCTTATTTGGGTTCCTTAAGACCAGGGAATCCTACTACTTCGGGGGGGGGTTCCTTATTTTCGTATGTGCCCACTTCTGAACCCCTCCTAAGCGTTGAAAAATTTAGGCTCCATATCTGTAGTTTCTAGGAAAACCCCAAAGCCTAAAGTCCTAAGAGCCAACCAGAAGAAAGCCAAGCATCATCTTGGCAAAGAAGCTCGCAGAGGCATCAATCTCCGCCTCGCGGGGGAGGTAGCAAGAGACACTCAAGTACCTCTACTTCTTCGCTCAAAAATACAAAATACGTCTAAGCGGCGAAACCGGTCTCAAGCTTCACCTTCGCCAGGACCCCTGAAATTGGGATCACCGACCCTTTCTACGACACCTGCGAATAGGGTCTACGGATTGGGATGTTCCCCCTTATACTAACAGTCCCGAAGAGGGATCATAAAAGGGGGTACTATAATCCCTACTAAGGACTGGTAGTATAAGGGGGAACATCCCAATAGACGGACCATAAACCTTGAAGGTGTATATTTATATACATATCTATCTATCTACATATATATGTGTATATATATATATAAATACATACCTACATCTATATATATATATATATAATCTATATCTCTATCTATATATATATATGTGTATATATATATATATATATATACATTTCTATAAGTCAAGGCAAGGCCCATGTCGACCTCGACGGAGCAAATGGCGTCGATGTTGCGAAAGGAGAAAAAGCCAAAGCCGCCTCCTCGGCCTTCGTTCAAGTGCGAAGCTCCAGGCGTTTTGTGGCACCAGCTAGACCCTAAACCCTAAACCCTAAACCCTAAACCCTAAACCCTAAACCCGGTTTGCGAGGCTTAAACAGCTGGGCGGCTCAAGCGTCGCTCCTCGGTGGCGTTGAGGAGGAAGGCGTCGAGCACGTCCTGCAGGCACGGCTGGAGGAGTCTAGGGTTTAGGGTTTAGGGTTTAGGGTTTAGGGTTTAGGGTTTAGGGTTTAGGGTTTAGGGTTTAGGGTTTAGGGTTTAGGGTTTAGGGTTTAGGGTTTAGGGTTTAGGGTTTAGTCATCAATTCCTGCTGCTGCAGGCTTCATATGCGCACGCGCTGCCTCAGTGGTCGCCTTTGGTCACCAGCCCCCTTCCGGTTTGCTCGTCTTTTCTTTGGCTTAGCTGCTTTGTTGGTTGTTGCTCATTCGTGGTGAGACCTAAGCCCAACCGCCGTGCAGAAGCCCCCAGACTCTGCAGTCCCCTAGGCTGGGGCCCCCGCAAACCACCTGACCCCAAACCCCAAACCCCAAACCCCAAACCCTGAACCCTGAACCCTAAACCCCAACCCTAAACCCTAAACCCTAAACCCCATCTCTGCCAGGCCCATTCACCCCTCGAAACGAAACACAAACACCGACTCTTTGGGGGCAGCCCCTCGGCTTGCCCTGTGCACCTTCAATTTTCGGTAGATGATGTATAAGATATCGTGCATATACATGTGCAATATACCGTCAGACACACATTCATACAGTATAAACGCATCGTATATACATAAAGACGAGTATGTAGTATCTACACCCTAAACCCTAGACCCTAGACCCTAGACCCTAAACCCTAAACCCTAAACCCTAAACCCTAAACCTAAACCCTAAACCCTCGTGCTGGGAGAGGAGAGGGGAGACGGAGGCCTGGCTGTCAGGCTCCGTGAAGACCGACGTCCAGTACAGCGAGCTTTGGGCCGTCTGGAGGAGGGGACTTCCGGCGTCCTTGCGGCCCACAGGGGTTTAGGGTTTAGGGTTTGGGGTTTAGGGTTTAGGGTTTAGGGTTTAGGGTTTAGGGTTTAGGGTTTAGGGTTTAGGGTTTAGGGTTTAGGGTTTAGGGTTTAGGGTTTAGGGTTTAGGGTTTAGGGTTTAGGGTTTAGGGTTTAGGGTTTGCCATGCTACTGGAATGTTTCGAAGACACCCAGTTTCAAGGAGGACTTCGGGTGGAACCACCGCTGTTAAGTTCCGGCCGAAGAACCTTGGAGCACGCCCGAAACACTAAACTTGACCTTCGTGAAGCCCTTTCTCAAGCACTGGAGGGGCGGCTGGAGCTTTGCAGTCAGTAAGCTTTGCCACAGAACCCACGTGCGACTACTACTATTTGCCTAAGACCCAAAAAAAAGTGAAATATTCTTCCTTATACGGGCAACATACGGAGCTTTATTCTTTAATCTCTTGGGGGGGGGGGGGGTATGATCCATGCAAGTCGTCACTTTGCTGAGTGTTGCAGGGGGTCTGGATGTAACCCGAAGCCGCCAACCCTGAAACTCAGACCCTCAATGGATCTTCGCTCCCATGTGGGATGCCGTGTTTGCCAGAGCCAGCGAACGCCCACACATGTCTACATAGCGAGAACCCTTCTACAGCATCCGCTGTTCCACGATCTCTAACCCTGCACAAGGTTCAGAGCCAATTGATGCAATTCGCGGCCTTGATCATTCGAATACGGAGTTGGGGTGCTTGTTATAATACTTGTATAGGGACCATGAGGAAAAATACTACTAGCAGTTCTTCCGACCCCTATATTAGGGTAGAGATGTCCGCGGCCTCCTCAGCAAGCAGCTGGAGCAACTCGTAGTTGAAGAGCAGAGCGCTCCTAGTTCATGGTTGGGACAATATCAAAAGCTTTAATTGTTTATTCCTTAGTGGGCTTAAGTACCCTTAAAAAATATAAAATGGTACCCTAAACCCTAAACCCTAAACCCTAAACCCTAAACCCTAAACCCTAAACCCTAAACCCTAAACCCTAAACACCCAACTATGACAAAGGCTCGGCATCTCTGCCCACGGCTCGATCTCCGGAGGCTCGTCGATGTCGTCGTCGGCTGGGGCGAGTTTTCGGCGACTTCGGGGTGGGGTTTAGGGTTTAGGGTTTAGGGGTTTAGGGTTTAGGGTTTCAGGTTTCGGGTTTAGGGGTTTAGGGGTTTAGGGGTTTAGGGTTTAGGGTTTAGGGTTTAGGGTTTAGGGTTTAGGGTTTAGGGGTTATCCTTGGGGACGACCTGTGCCCGCAAAAGGGTTTAGGGTCAGCCCCAAACCCTACTGCCAGATGTGCCTACCATTACAGAAGCCTTTCCAAGCCCAAGAGCACTGAAATGCTCACAATTTCTTTTAAACATCTTTGCTTGCCAACATATTTCTGAATTTGCCGGGTCATTTGTGCAAAAGCCGGTGCCGCACAACTCAGTCGAAGCAACACACCCTCAACCCAAAACTTCCCTGGGCCTCAAAAGTCCCGTCAACGGTTTAGGGTTTAGGGTTTAGGGTTTAGGGTTTAGGGTTTAGGGTTTAGGGTTTAGGGTTTAGGGTTTAGGGTTTAGGGTTTCGGGTTGAGGCTTGAGGGCACATGTCAAATGGGGCCTGGAGCAAGGTAGCTCTGGATCTCCTGTGCCAACGCCGCACCCTCGGCATCATCATCCTCCACCTGCGCTGCAGGGTTTCTGCTTTGGAGTGTGTAGGGTTTGGGGCGAGGGTTTAGGGTTTAGGGTTTAGGGTTTAGGGTTTAGGGTTTAGGGCTTAGGGCTTAGGGTTTAGGGTTTAGGGTTTAGTTTTTAGGGTTTAGGGATGAGGGTTTAGGGTTTAGGGGTTCTTGAGGTTCAGGACGTTCTGCGCGTCAAACATCATCACTAACACATGGCAGGCTTGTATGTTCCTTTTTGCCCAATTAGGGTTTGGGGATCGAGCTTTAGAACCTCGATCGCGAAGTCGTAGCCCTAAACCCAGGTTCTCAACCCTGAAGACTCAATGCCTAGGTAGGAAAGTTCTTTGCTAGAGTCAGGCAACAGATGACATCTGCCTGGCGGTGATGGGCGTTATCGCATATATCAACACAGAGCAGCACTAATGTCTCTTTTGCCAGGCGAAAAGTTTAGGCGCAACTGCGTGTGCTGTTCAGAAAGCCTCTGCAGATTACGACCCTAAAACCTGAGCCCTTTTCACGATGCCCTCAAAAGCTCGATAAAGCATCCTCGGCAACGCGATCTAGGAGATCTCGTCTTGCTTTTTAAGGTTTAGGGTTTAGGGTTTAGGGCCCAACATATGCCGTCCATCCACGTCGCAGTCATCGTCCAGCGTTGATACCCCGAGGTCCTCGCGCGGCGTCTGGATTGATACCCACGAACCTCCAAGTTTATCACCGGTGCCTTGGTGCGGTGGAGCGCGGGGTCCCATGAAACCCTAAACCCCGATTAACCCGACAAACCCGACAACGCCGAGAAATCCCCAAAATCCGATAACTCTAAACCCTAAACCAAAAAAAACCTAAACCCTAAACCCTAAACCCTAAACCCTAAACCCTGGACCCTAAGACCCTAAGACCCTAAGACCCTAAGACCCTAAGACCCTAAGACCCCAAGACCCCAAGACCCCAAGACCCTAAGACCCTAAGACCCTAAGACCCTAAGACCCTAAGACCCTAAGACCCGAAGACCCTAAGACCCTAAGACCCTAAGACCCTAAGACCCTAAGACCCTAAGACCCCAAGACCCTAAGACCCTAAGACACCCCTCCAAAGGCTCCTGCAGCACCTTCTCCAGGCCCACAGAGGACTCCAAAGCCTGGGCGCTGTGCGGCTTATGCATCATGCCGCTTCGAGCCGCTTGGATTAGGGTTTAGGGTTTAGGGTTTAGGGTTTAGGGTTTAGGGTTTAGGGTTTAGGGTTTAGGGTTTAGGGTTTAGGGTTTAGGGTTTAGGGTTTAGGGTTTAGGGTTTAGGGTTTAGGGTTTAGGGTTTAGGGTTTAGGGTTTAGGGTTTAGGGTTTAGGGTTTAGGGTTTAGGGTTTAGTATATCGCTGAGCCCTAGGAAGCACAAACAGGGTTTTGTCAGCCCGGGGCGCAAATTGCACCCTCTCCCTTCAGGCCAGCAGTAGAAGTCTAAGTCTAAGTTCGAGGTCAGACGCCTTCTGGAACCTGACTGATGCCAGGAAAACCTAAACCCTGAACCCTAAACCCCGAACCACAATCCTAAACCCTAAACCCTAAACCCTAAACCCTAAACCCCTAAGCCCTAAACCCTAAACCCTAAACCTCTCACCCTACACCCTAAACCCTTGTAGGCAAGGGCCCTTGGCGAAAATATGCGAGCCCCCGGCCTCCATAGACAGGAGGGTTTAGGGTTTAGGGTTTAGGGTTTAGGGTTTAGGGTTTAGGGTTTAGGGTTTAGGGTTTAGGGTTTAGGGTTTAGGTTTTAGGGTTTAGGGTTTAGGGTTTAGGGTTTGTACGTGAGCCCCCGGCCTCCATAGACAGGTACTCCGTCATGCGATCCATGGTGGAGCCCGGAACTGTGGAGAACGCGTGGATCCTTGGGAACTGGGTGGGCTTAGGGTTTGGGGTTTAGGGTTTCGGGTTTAGGGTTTAGGGTTGAGGGTTTAGGGTTTAGGGTTTAGGGTTGAGGGTTGAGGGTTTAGGGCTTAGGGCTTAGGGCTTAGGGCTTAGGGCTTAGGGCTTAGGGCTTAGGGCTGAGGGTGTAAGGGGAGGCGTAAAGGATTTACGAAGGCCTTCACTAGCCAACAAAGATGCCCCACAACTCACGCCCTTCACAGCGCCCCCAGCGCCTTGAACTGTTTTTGGGGCGTTTGCGCGCGTGGCCAATTGCCCACGAGACCTACAACGGATTTGGGAACCCTAAGCCCTAAACCCGGAACCCGAAATCCCAAAACCCTACAAACCCTAAACTTCGCCAAAAGCCCTAAAAACCCCGAAAATGGCCTGAACATCCCAAAAACACTCTAAAACACCTAAAAGCCCCAAAAACCCGAAAAGCCGTAAACGCCCTACAAGCCCCAAAAGCCCTAAAAGCCCAAGCCCCAAGTCCAGGCCAATGCGCACCCGGGCATCGACCCATCTCCACCCCTTTCTGAGCTGTGAACCCTAAAGCTCTACAGCTTTAAACCCTAACCCCTAAACCCTAAACCCTAAACCCTCAAACCCAAACCCTAAACCCTAAACCCTAAACCCTCAACCCCTCAACCCCTAAACCCCTCAACCCCTCAACCCCTCAACCCCTCAACCCCTCAACCCCTCAACCCCTCAACCCCTAAACCCCTAAACCCCTAAACCCCTAAACCCCTAAACCCCTAAACCCCTAAACCCCTAAACCCCTAAACCCCTAAACCCCTAAACCCCTAACCCCTAACCCCTAAACCCTAAACCCCTGCCAGGGGTCCGGTAGGGCTGCCCAGGCTGGAACACCTCTCTAGGCACGGTTTAGTTTGGGGGTTGGTGGTTTGGGGGGTTTGGGGGGTTCGGGGGGTTTGGGGGGTTTGGGGGGGTCTGGGGGGTTTAGGGGTTTTAGGGGGTTTGGGGGGGTTTAAGGATTTTGGGGGGTTTTGGGGAGTTTTGGGGGGTTTGGGGGGTTTGGGGGATTT